AAATATAATATTCAAGCCAAATATACCAGAATATTCTAATTTTGAATATAATTTTCAAACCAAATATACCTTTATTTTTATTTACTGTGTATATTTTATTTTACTTGTAATATTAACACGCTATATATAATAGTAGTATACAATGAATAGTTTACTGAATAATTGTTTATTGTATAGATTAAAATAAGGACAAATGTTTCCATAATAAAATGCTTTGTTTAATGAAAAATCCTTTTTATTTTTTAATTTTGGTCCAAAGTTTAAAACATATGGAGTGGATTTGCTTAATAGATAATTTCCTTTAATTAGGGGCCAACAATATAAGTGAGGTATATTGTGTTAAGGGTTCTTAGAAAAGCTTAACTCCATTAAATTTAGCCAAATAAAAAAAAGGTTTTAACCAAAATAATGCAATACCAACTATGCATTTACCTTTTTACTCAAAAAAAAAAAAAAAAAAAAAAAAACTATGCATTTACCTTTATTCATCTTTAGATGCTATTGCTACTTTTTTCCATTGTATATTTCTTATTTATCGTGCCAAATCTATAAAAGTTATGTTAGAATTTATTATTTTTAGTGGAATCAAACTTTTCTTAGCCAAGATTTATGGAGTTTCAATTGTGTATTTCTTGCTATTTAGCTGTAATATTTTTCTTTTTCTGGGGTCAAATCCGAAGAAAAAGCAGTTGCTAGAATTATGTTATTCTAGCCAATTATTTTTTTATCCAAATAATGGAGTTTCAACTTTCTATTTTGTATTTCTTCTTTAGATGCAATCATAATTTGTTTTAAAACTACTTTTTTCTTCTTCTTTTTTTGTGCCAAATCTATACAAAGAATTGGCTGAAACTCTATTACTTTTAGCTAAATAAAAAGAAATTCAACCTAAATAATGGCCAACTTTTTTCACAAATTCAGCCTGAAAAAATTGATTACAAACAAATAGTATTAAATTTAAAAATTAATGAAATAAAGGTTTATTTTAAGAAAATGTCACGTGAACAAAAATGTATTTCATCCGAAGCGCAAACAAATTAGGGCAAACAGAATTTCTCTTCAGCAATTGCAATCAGATGACGAGAATTTCTCTGCTGCGTTACTCTTCCAATGGTATTATTCCCTCTTTTTCTGCTATTTCACGTTCTGCTTCACCAATTGCAATCAGATACTATTATTCTTCATCTCATAGCATATTGAGAATGTCAAGTGTTTAGATGATGCTTCGAGTCTCTTTCGTCAAATGGTCAGAACTCAGCCCCTTCCTTCTGTTTTTAGCTTCTCGAAATTATTAAAGACTATGGTAAATATGAAGCATTATGCTGCTGTTGTTTCCCTTTTTCGACAAATGCTGAAATCTGATATCCCAATTAGTGATTACATCTTGTGTATTGTGATTAACAGTTATTGCCTAATGCATCGTTCTGATTGCAGATTTTCGGTGTTAGCCATTTACTTGAAGAATGGCATTTCATTTAATGTTGTCACCTTTAGCACCTTACTAAGGGGACTCTTTGCGAAAAATAAGATAAAGGATGCAATTAACTTGTTCAAAAAGTTGGTGAGAGAGAATATGTGTGAGCCGAATGATTCATGTATTCCACAGTCATGAATGGGCTTAGCAAAAGTGGCCATACTCAAAAAACTTTTGATTTGCTACGGGTAATGGAACAAGGAAGCACTAACCCCAATGAATACATCTATAACATTGTTATAGATGCCCTATGCAAAGATAGAATGTTAGATGCCGCAATTAGCCTTTTTGAAGAGATGAAACAAAAAGGCATTCCTCTGGACATTGTCACATATAATTCATTGATTGATGGTCTCTGTAAGTTTGGTAAGTGGGAAAAGGTTAGGCCTTTGTTCTTTGAAATGGTAAATCTTAATATTTATCCAAATGTGCGCACTTTGGCCATTGTAACAGATGGATTATGCAAAGAAGGGAAAGTTGAAGATGCTGAGGAGGTAATGAGACACATGATTGAAAAAGGCGTAGAGCCTAATGTGGTCACCTACAATGTGATAATTGATGGATATTGCTTGCGCGGTCAAATGGATAGAGCAAGGAGACTTTTCGATTCTATGATAGATAAGAGCATTGAGCCTACCATTATTAGCTTTAACATATTAATTAATGGATACTGTAAGAAAAAGAAATTGGATGAAGCCATGCATTTGTTTCGTGTAATTTCTCGAAATGGACCGAAACCTAACATTGTTACATATAGTACTATCTTGCAAGGTCTATTTGAAGTTGGAAGAACTGACTTTGCCGATAAATTCTTTGCTGAGATGCTATCTACAGGGCTCAAACCTAATATATGCACTAATGGCATTTTGCTTGGTGGTTATTTTCTGAATGGGCGTGTTGAGAAAGCTTTATTGCTTTTTCATGAGTTGGAAAGAAAGAAAGAATATACTGATATTGAACTTTACGGTATTGTAATTGCGGTATTGTAATTGACGGATTATGTAGAAATGGTAAGGTCGACGAAGCTCGTGCTATTTTTGTGAAGCTTTCTTTAATTGGATTGTCTCCCAATGTGATAACTTACAATATGATAATAAATGGGTTTTGTCTAGAAGGGTTGTTAGATGAAGCTAAAGATATGCTTAAAAAAATGGAAGATAATGGTTGTTCTCCAGATAATGCCACGTACAATATTATTGTTCGAGGATTTCTCAAGTTTCGCAGAACTAGTGAAATGACAACTCTTTTGAAGGAAATGACTGGAAGGGGCTTCTCATTTGATGCAGCTACAGCAAAGTTACTTATACACCTTATCGCCGAGGATCCTTCTTTGTTTAACATGATACCACAGTTTCACTCGCTCAACAACAACAACAAACCCAGTGAATTCCCACAAGTGGGGATGATACCACAATTTCACTCGGGAAGTAATAAGTGAATATTTATTTCACTTGGTTTATTCAGCTATATTTACCATTATGATGTAATTTCCTTTACCTCTGCAAAGAAAATCACATCTAATGGAAATGCAGAAGGTGAAAGAATGGCAGTTAGAACATCCAAGTAAGCTTGTTGAGGAGGTACATCGGTTCTAATGTTTGATTGTTATGCCACTCTACTTTATCTTGGATATCATATTTTATTTCACTCTTAATATGAGAAATGATGTGAGTTTTCTTTTCTATACACATCAAAAGTCTAAGAATAGTTTTTTCAATGGTGTTTAGCAGTCGTATCATTTTCTATCATTTTGAGAATCAATAACAGCTTCCTATCAGATGAGAAGCTTCTTTCTCCATGACGGAGTGAAGCATGGCTGGTATATTCTTCTCCAGGAAACAATACTCTTCTCCGACTTTAGAGCTAAGAAAACTTCGACTAGAATATAATGTGGCTTTACAGATTAGAAAACTTTCGACTAGAATACAATGCGACTTTAGAGATGAGAAAATTTCGACTAGAATACAAGGCTAACAAGTTCGCTATATACTAGTGCAGTTATTCCTTTTACAGAGGAAATCAGCAAAGTAGTCAAACTCCAGGAGAAGCTTTTACAGCGGAAGAATGGGTTTAATGTTATGGATGCGATGTTAAGCCTCGCATTATGGATGTCAGTCGCACAAAACAAATGACTGTGTTCTGGTCTTCACTGCACAAAGCATGAGCAAGCACCCAATGAAGGGAATGCTTACAGTCCGTGTTACCATTTTAAACTGAGATGACAAACCGAGGTTTGTATTCTTAAGCTTCAACGCTTTTCTTTCCCCCATTTGGCATCACACACATCTATGTTGACTGATGTTTTATTGCTTTTCAGATTTTAGACTTGTTATCAAATTGTTTTGGCTATTAACGATGAGGTTGAAGATCTTGAGAAGGCTGCATTAATGTCAAGAGAGGGTTTGCCGTTTAGAAAGTCCTGGGAAGCTTTCTACTTGAACTCGGATTTACATTCATTCAGGATACATTGTAAGTCTAGGAATAGCATTTCAGTGCTCTTTACTAGTCTTCAGGTATTATGCTGCCGAGGTTGCTTATATGGCTTTAACAAAATGTTCGTATTCTCTTCCGCCTTCTTTACACAAGCCAAATCGATGTTAAGGAGACTTTGTTCAAGCTAATAGATGTTTGTCTTGAGATTAACAAACAATGACATTTTAATGCTGTTGGATGACTTTGAAAATTTCACTTATGTACAGTAAATTGACATCTTTTCCCATTTCAGGCAAATCCTTCCTTACCGATGATCCTTCAACTGTTTTCTCGGAATTGGAAGGTGAACTTATCAAAATTGAACCTTGCATGGATTCACTCTGTTCATTTCTGGCTGTCAAGAACAATCCAGAGGTCCGTCTCGTATTTTTCACCATGTACCCGTTCCAACTAATGTGATTGGCTTATTATTACCGGTTCTGATGCAACTAAGTATTCATACCTTTGGAAGATGAAGAAGAGATGGCTCACTCTAAATATCCATCTCCACAGTCCAAGGTGCTGAAAAGGTTGATGCATCTTCAATGTAAATGAGAAGCCACCTTCTGCGGTGGAATCATTGTGCCATTTGCCTAGAGAAACTATATCATCAGTTGCAATGACACCATCCGATTCATCTATCATCCCGAATGCAAATTCTACCATGACGAAGACTGCAGAGGCATGTTACTTACGTTTAGTGTCCTCTTGAACACAGAGGCTGGCAAGGATGATTATAGCTATCATCTATTTAAGGTATTTTTATAATTTATTTTCTGAAACATTGAAGTTGTTTGGAAGTTAAGTTGTATTAATATGAACTTAGCCGGGTAAGTTCTTGTCATATTTTAGTTGACTAACTGGAACTGCCCGAGTTCTTCTTGTCATATCTTTAACTGCTGCTAGATGGTTAGAGACCTCAGATGCAGATACTCTGCTTCCTGATCCCATTTCCCTTTTACAGTCACCTTTTCTGCTTTATCTGTCGAGTTAAATGAGCGATTAGGACTTGGATTTGGTCATTTGCTCGCCCCTTTAGAAAGCACACATGAGATGCAGACCATTTCACCTCGTTAGCACTTATGATTTATTCAAACAAATTGATTGATTACAGTTTAGAAATTGAATAGTTATTCTATTCACAGTCAGCTGGGAGGAAATGCAAATATCCCAACCAATTTTGGGCTACAGAAAAACTAGATCCATTTCTTCAGCTTCGTTCGCAGACTTCATCATGTTGGCGACATAGATCCCAATACCAAGAATCAACAGAGCAACAAGAGTCATTTTCATCATTTTCCTTGGCTTCTTCAGGTTTGCAGCGAAACAGCTAGCGTTTCCGGTTGTTTCATCATCCGTCGAATCATCAGACGATTCATCACTTTCAGATTCACTGTAAGAACTACTTGAACTACTTTTATCTGCTGGTGATTTTTCTTCAAGATTTCTAGCCTCTGTTTGCTCAGTGGTTTTAGGACTAGTGTTGTTTTGTTCTTCTTTTGCTGGCTCTTTAGCAGAGTTATTAATATCAGCATTATCCTGCTTAGTAAATTCATCTCGTAAAGAGGTCTTCTGTCTTTTAGCAGGGGTGTTCTCAGCTTCTGAGGCTGGCAATTCCTTATCATTTTTCAGTGTTGAAGTTATCAGTTTTGGCTGTTTAACATGAAGAATGCCATTTTCAAACTTTGCACTGATTTTACTTTTGTCACAATTTTCTGCAACAGGAAAGTCCTTCTGAAACCTCTGCCATTTATTCTGCCCAATCAGCCTTTCTCCGCTGATCTTCAGAATTCCCGTTCTGGTCAGTTGAACCCTCACCTGTTCCTTCTTGAAACCTGATGATTTCAATCTCGATCAGTGTGTTATCATATATGAAATCAATATGTTCCAGAAGATAGAATTTCAATCTTTAAGGTTAACTATGAAAATTATTGAGAAAATAACAACAGTCGCGCCTGATGTGGATACATGACTACTCAGATATCTTAGTTGACATAAGGCATGGAATAAGTTACTGTGAGATACGCCATCTTCATCCGATTATGAACTTTTCATTTTCTTGAGAATTATTAACTGTATTCTGAGCATAGCGGAAAAAATCTCATATAGCAGTATAGCAAAATTTTCATTTTATAGAATCCCTGTAATTTCTCATCATGTTGTAAGGTTAATCACCAGTGGGGGTATTCTGAGCATAGCGGAAAAAATCTCATATAGCAGTATAGCAAAATTTTCATTTTATAGAATCCCTGTAATTTCTCATCATGTTGTAAGGTTAATCACCAGCGGGGAATCCAACATATACTATGCACTAGATGGAGTCATCTGTATATATGTTCTGTAGAAATTTTAAGGAATTTTTTATTTAAAGTATCAATATATATTGAGAGGTTCACCCACTGCTTTTAAATACTGGATCAGTCTAAATCATTCTGTCGCAAATGTATTGCAGCACCACTTTGGCGGGAGGCAGTGGTGAATCCAGATTTTACGTCAGTTTGTTTACTCTTTATATATGTGCCAACATGTTTCTCACATGGGCGAGCACTTGCATATATATATATATATATATATATAGTGCGAGTTAGATGCAATATAATATACTGAATCCACAACAACATATCCAATGTGTTCCCACGAGTGGGATCCGGTAGAGAGGCTGTTAATCCGTCAGTGGTGGGAGGAGGAAACAGATAATATGAGTAAAGAATAGCACCTGGAATATTAAGGTGAAGAGTGTCAGAGAGTTCTTCTTGAACCAGTTTTGATGTTGGCACAAAATCTTCATATATTTGAGTTGGTGTAGCAGCTGAAGCTCCCTTTGAATTCATTTCCTGTGTTTCTTTCTTTCCTTTTTGTTATTATGTTATATTTCCTTTTATCCTTCGTTCTTTGTTCTTGTTGATGGATAGGATGAAGTTTGTAGTGTATATATACACAGAAAATTCCTCAAAGAGAACTTTCTTGAATTGCTTTCTTTGTTTTCTTTCAGATTATATATTCCTTAACTTATTCCCATTCCTTTTTTAGTAAACCTTTTTATTTACTCTACATAGTTTTTTTGTGCAATAAATAAACATGAGAAAAACTCCCACAATAGGAAACCTGAAGTTCAAAATTTGCAGTTTCCTATTGAACAATTTTTCCGCAGAAGTTTCTTTGGGTAACTTTGTGGTATTCTTCCTGCATGCTGAAGAGAGTTTCTTTTATTGTTGGAAATGTATCTTTTGGCACGAGAGAAGTTGGTACATTCTTCGAGAAATGTATATTTTAGCCGCTCCTAAAAATAATAGCCGACAAAATAGTTTTTTTTTTGTATATATGTGTATCATATACAAAAAATATACATATTTTATATGTTTTTGGGCTAGCGAATGCAATTAGTTTCAACCGATCGACTAATTTTATGTTTTTTTCCTATATTCTTCTATGTGGGGTTCATTTATCCTACCTTCCCCTAAATTGTATATGTGAGCACCTAATTTTTGCCCTACATGAAAATAACTCCTAAAAATAGATCAAAAATAACATTAATTGATTTTTAGGAGTTTTTCTTTATTTAGTTGCATTCCATGCATTTTTAATATTTTAAAATCATAAAAAAATCATAAAAATTGTCACGTTTTAATTTCATGCCATCTTAGGTTCAATTTGCATGTAGGAATAATTTTATTAAGTAAAAATAAAATAAAAATAGGTCATTTTTGCATATTCAGATTTTAGTCTTTAAAATTAGTATTTTTCTTTAGTTTTAAGTTAATTAGTTGTTTTAATGTNACTTGGAAGATTAGTTCTACGGATATTGCTTGGCGTACGTGATGCACTGGTAGTTTTGTCTTCTCCGTTCCTTTTCCTCTTTTTTTATTGTTTTGTTTTGTTTCTGATTATAAAAAAAATACTTTTTCTTTTTTAATGAATGAAGAGATGCGAGGGATGTACCTAAGCTATTTGCAGTGGATAAGTCGCCGCATAACACACTATGCGACCGTATAAGTGTTATGCGGTGGATTCAAGTTAATTGCTGGAGGGCCAAAACTACGGTGCACTGTGCGATCACATAGTGGAAATGCGGTCCGCAAAGTTCACCACCTTCTCGCATTTTTATCACCAATTTTAGCCAAACACACTGTTTGGGTTTGCGACCAAAATGCGGTCCACATAGTAAAAATGCGACCGCATATGTGTAGCAAACTTCCCAAGGTGATTTTTCTTCCCTTTCTCATTCAATCTTACCCCATGTTTTGATCTTTTGAATCCCCTACCCTCTAAACCACACTTTAAATTGCTCAATTAAATCTATCTAACAAAAATTAAAAATTTAAAGGCCAAAAAGGGTGTTACCACACATGGGTTGCCTCCCATGAAGCGCTTGATTTAACGTCGCGGCACGATGAACTTGGTGTTCCTTAGGATTCACTCATTGGTGGGGCATGGACCATCTTTGAGATCCAACTTCTCCACCAAATGTTTTTCTCCATTTGTGCCCAAGTAGTGCTTGACTAGCTGACCGTTCACTTTGAAGGTTCGGAGCCCATCCTCCGATTCTAATTCTACAACACCAAAAGGAGAGACATTGACCACCTAGAACGGACCGGACCATTTCGATTTGCTGCCCATATTGGCTGACTTCCTACTCAAAGCATCGGCCACCACATTGGCCTTTCCCGGATGATATAAGATGGTGATATCATAATCTTTCAACAACTCCAACCACCTCCTCTGCCTCAAATTCAACTCCTTTTGCTTGAACAAATGCTGAAGACTCTTGTGATCCGTGAATACCTCACATGTCACGCCATACAGATAATGCCTCCAAATCTTCAATGCGTGAACTATGGCTGCCAACTCCAAATCATGAACCGGATAGTTCTTTTCATGAATCTTCAACTGCCGCGAAGCATAGGCAATGACCTTGCCATCCTGTATCAACACTGCACCAAGCCCAATATGGGAAGCATCACAATAAACTGTATAAGGCCCTGAACCTGTGGGCAAAACCAACACCGGTGCCGTAGTCAGAGCTGTCTTGAGCTTCTGAAAGCTCGCCTCACACTCATCCGACAATCTGAACTGGGCACCCTTTTGGGTCAACCTGGTCATCGGGGCTGCAATAGATGAAAACCCCTCCACGAACCGACGATAGTAGCCTGCCAATCCCAAGAAACTCCGAATCTCTGTAGCTGATGCTGGTCTAGGCAGTTCTTGACCGCCTCAATCTTCTTCGGGTCAACCTGAATACCCTCTGCTGACACAACATGACCCAGAAATGCAACTGAATTCAACCAGAACTCACACTTCAAGAACTTTGCATATAACCGACTATCCCTTAGAGTCTGAAGAACCACTCTAAGGTGCTGCTCGTGCTCCTCCTGGCTGCGGGAATATATCAATATATCATCAATGAAGACTATCACGAACGAGTCCAAATAAGGTCTGAACACTCGGTTCATCAACTCCATGAAAGCTGCTGGGGCATTTGTCAACCCGAATGACATGACCAAGAACTCATAATGCCCGTACCGGGTGCGGAAAGCTATCTTAGGGACATCGAATGCCCTAATCCTCAACTGATGGTAGCCAGATCGCAAGTCAATCTTGGAGAATACCCTGGCACCCTGAAGCTGGTCGAACAAATCGTCAATCCTCGGCAGTGGATACTTATTCTTGATCGTTACCTTGTTCAATTGCCGGTAATCAATACACATTCTCATTGACCCATCCTTCTTCTTGACAAATAACACCGGCGCACCCNTTTTATTATGCCTCGTTTCTCGTGAATTCATCACCGGAATTGCCTTGTCGTTTCTATGTTAGCTATCTCTTCGACTGATTATTTTAACTGATTACTTGAGCTGAAATTAGTAATTGATTATTAAATCTGAATCATAGGATTTTGAAGCCAAATGATTTTGTGTCTGTTTCGAACAATTGAAAAGTGAAAGTGGTGAAATTGTTGTGTATTGAATATGAATATATAGAATCTAGCTTTGAGCAGAACAATTACTGGAGATTTCTTTGTCGGCAGCCTTATCCAATCTCAATTTGTATAAGGATAGTTTATCGGTTGTTATTAAAAATTTTGAGCTATGATTTTGTGTAATGATTTTTCAACTTGGTCGAATCATGTGGTAACGTTTGGAGTAATATGCTTTAAAGACAACATTGAAATCAGGTTAAAATTCAGTTTGGTGCACTATTGGGCTTTTATGCCCATGAGTTCTCTGGCCAAAACTCATAAATGAGCGGCTGGGACGAATCTTGTCAATAGATAGAATAGTAAGAAGTGTAAAGTTGTAAATAATTTCTAGTGATTAAACTTATCCTTTTTCCACAACGTTACTTCCATAAGTCGTGACCTTACAACAAACCTCAAAGTTAGCTTAGGGAAATAAGTAATGAACATCGTAGCTTGCTTTAGGCGCGAAATTAAATCATTGTGACTATGGGTACGGTTTTCGTGACATAGTTATGATACCTAATTCCCAAAATCGGGTGTGCATTTCATGTGACCCGATCATAACAATTTTGAACACTAATAAAATAAACATGTCGCGAATCACTGATGCATTTCATGTAGCGTGGTTTGCGATGTGTCCCAGAACGGCAAGTGTACGACAATCGTAACTTGTTCAAGAAATAATTCCATAAATCCTAAAAGCGGTTAAAATAATTAAAAGGCAGTTATAAAGTTAAAAATGCACAATAGGTTTAAAACATGTAGTAAATCAGATAATAGGCCAATTATTAATAGTTAAGCGACCGTGCTAGAACCGCGGAACCCGAGAATGCCTAACACCTTCTCCCGGGTTAACAGAATTCCTTATCTTAGAATTTCTGGTTTCGCAGACTTTTAAATAAAGTCGATTCTCCTCGATTTGGGATTTAAAATAAATCGGTGACTTGGTACACCACAATAAATATCCCAAGTGGCGACTCTGAAAATAAATAAAATAATCCCATTTCAATTAATGTCACTTTAATTGGAAAAACACCCTTATATCCCCTCTCCGGTGGGAAAAAAGGAGGCGTGACAGCTCTGGCGACTCTGCTGGGGAAGTCATGAATTCGAGCTTAGAATAACTGTTATACTTGGCTTTATTTATTATCTGATTTTTACATGTTTGAGCCTAATGTGCTAAATGCCGCTTTTTACCGCTTAATCTTGTCGCTTTTCTTATTCTCTTTTCAGTTATGTTAAATGCAGATTTTAATAACATGACATGCTTGCGGACTTCATGCAGAGATCCCAAAACGCTGTTAGACTTCAAAATAATGAATCAAGAGTCAAAATGCAAAGAAGATAAGCTTAAGGAAATAAAACAAAGAATTGGAACAGCTAAAGGAAAATTGGCTCCAAATTGAAAAGGTCCATACATTGCAACAAGAGTACTGCCAAAAGAGAGCGTTGTATTTGGGACATCGAAGGAAACGTCTATGAAATAACTGTCAATGCAAATGCAGTCAAAGGTACTATATTGGATCCTCTATATAACATTAATGTTCTCCGGTTGGGATGAAGAAGGCTTTTATTCTCGCTACCCAAACACTATCAACCCATTGTAAACCTTTTGAGCCGGTTGCTTTTCTTTGATTACCCTCTTTGGAACCTGAAAGTGTTATTGAAAAAACATTGATTGAAAAATAAAATGAAGAATGAAAAAAAAAGAAAGAAAGAAAAGAAAGATAGAAAAAAAGAAAAAAGGTGGAAGAAGAGACAAAAAGAAAATGAAATGAAAAAAAAAAGGAAAGGAAAAAGAAGGAGAAAACAAAACAAAACAGAAGTAATAGCAAAAAAAAAAAAAAGAAAATTAAAAACAAAGTTCCCTGAACTACGTTCGACTTGATTCCGAAAGGATACGTATGCAGCCTCTCCCTGGGGTTCAATCACACCAAAATAAAAATCCAAATTCCCCCAAAATGAAATTGGGGCAGTTCGGCGATGATCCCGCCTGAATGGTTCCAAAGTTGTAATTCAGTCTAAATCATTTTTACCCAAATCCTTTCAAGTCCTTCCGATCAATCGGT